ACACACACACACACACACACACACACACACACACACACACACACAGAACATGCCGGTCATACCTGCCGGTGCCAAATGTGTCAGTTGTGCTGGAATAGTTTTCACACAGAATCTTTCCACTGGAGGATAAAATATAAAAATAGCTGCTGGTCGACTGTGAGTCTCTTTTAGTTTTCATGAATTCACTCCTTCATTTGTTTTATTCACTCGTTCACCACTTTGTCAGTGGATTTGTTGACAATATGTTTGATTAAAATAGTTATTGATTTGCTGATTTCGTGATTTAAATATTTTGTTGGGTTTTCATTTGTAATTTAATTCATTCAGACATTCCTTCATTCATTCATTCATTCAGTGCAATACAGCTTCATTAATCCTGAAGACAATTCGGTTTAAGGCAATGAAAGGAAAAAAAGGAATTCACACATGAACTGATCATCCACAAAAAAAAGCATAAAATACAACTTTATCTGTAATAAATAAAATAATAGTTGGTGCTTCATTCATGAATTAGATGATCTGTTCATCCATCCATCTAAACATCCATCCATGCATTTTACCATCTATCCATCCATCCATCCATCTAAACATCCATCATCCATCCATCCATCTAAACGTCCATCATCCATCCATCCATGAGTGTCCCCCTGATCTTTTATTTATAACCACCTCTCATATCCAGCTGTGGCCTTTGTACGCAGCTACAACAAACCACAGAGGACAAAAATATGAAATAAATCAAACATTACTGCCTCACTGGCCATTTTCCTACTGGGCTGCTGTCAAATTATGCTGCTACACAGTCTGAATGGCTCCTGATGGAAATTGTTTGGAAATGGCAGATGAATTAACATGCTGGGCTGAAGTCCAAAATCCTCTGGCTTCATCCTCGGCTGTTAGTGAAAGAGCGAGAGCGAGAGAGAGAGAGAGAGAGAGAGAAACACTTAGCGGGGAGGATGAGCTCACGCTAACAGCAGGAAGATTTCCACTGACCCCAGTTTATTCCACCAATCTCTGACCGAACTCAGCACTAAATCCTGCCGTCAGAGTTTTGAGGTAATTCAGGTTTTGGTTCCACGACTTTTTTATTTTTAGACAGTGGAAGTTTTAAATTTACACAAAACATTCAGCCCGACAATCCTAGAGAAGGCACTTGGCTTTTAATTTTCATTACATTATCCAGTCATTTTACCCTGAACGTCCCACGGCCACTGATGTATCGTCCCTCTGAGTGGACACAGGAGACGTGTGTGTGTGGTCTGAACATTTTATCACCTCAGTTGAAGAAGTTTGTCGGTTTCACAGTTGGTATTTCTCTAATTTCACCTCAGACTCATCTCTGCTTTTTGACATTTTTGCAGAAATCCTGCTTTTTGCTATTTTTCTGGCTCTGGCACAGGAAGAGGGAGAACATCCTCCTTCTTTATCTCCCCTGCAAAGATCTTTTCCAACCACGGAAACAACCATCAACACAATTCCAGAGCTCTAGAACCAGATTTGTTTCCTCGTGAGGTCAAAAACCAAAACATTTGAAAACAATGTCATTTTGACCTGATTTTATCGCTGGATAGAAACTCATCCCCGCGGCTTTAAGGGTCGTCTTCTGGGGATCGAGCGAATCGCTATTGATTCATTTCCGTCTCAGATCGCTCTGTCAGCAGTGGTTTTATTCGAGAATCAGAAAATGGATGTTTAGTCCAACGGTGCTGAACGGTCTAAAACATTTCCCCCATCACTTTTTATTTCCTGCACATCGGAGCGTCGTGTGTTTGTGTTTCGGCCTGGACTGGCTGCATGTGCGTGCTGTTTGAACTGGGAACCTGACAGGTTCGTGCTGAAGCTCTCCTGGCTCTCACTGAAGGGTTGGGGGCTGGGAAACATGGCCTCCTGCCAAGGTACGAGCCCAACCCCCAGCTAACCCCCTCCAAAACCCATTGTCTGCTGGCAGAAGGTGGCATGAATGCACTCGCTACTCCGAGCACGGAGAAGAACTGAGTCTGTTGTTTGGGTACATGCAACTTTTGAACATGAAATAAGATGTTGACTCGGTATTGTGTGTGGATCAGTGGCACCAGGTGTGATTTTTATAAACTGCTCTCTTCAGGTTGGGGTTAAAGGGGCGGAGGGTTCCATTTTATCCAGGTTGCTTCACACAGCAGATATGAAAACAGCCTCCACGAGGTCCGTTGAGTAGCTGCTTGTGATCGCACTGCGTGATCTTCGTCGTCTGCTGATTCGCGGATGTTTAACCCAAACTCCTGACCA